AACGCAAGCCCCTGTGTTGAAATTTCCTGAAAAGGATGAGAATTTTAGAAATTTCAGCGGATGCTTCGGATTATGCGTAGGAGCGGTACTTTCGCAAAATCAGCAGCCCGTGGCATTTTTTAGCCGAACTTTAAATCAAACACAAAGAAACTATTCCGCGACCGAGAGAGAGGCACTTGCAGTTCTGTTAGCAGTGCAAAAGTTCCGAGTCTATTTTGGAAAGGCTCCGATAACAGTATACTCTCTGATCATGCGGCGGTAACTAGATTGTACTGTACTCAGGGAAAATTTATCCCCAAGGTTAATAAGATGGGCACTCAAGCTGCAAGAATATAATCTGGTAATCAAGCATACCCCCGGAAAGGAAAATATCGTAGCAGATGCCCTATCAAGGATTAAAATTAGACGAACAAGGCAATACCGTAAAGATGGCAATGCTTACAGCATGTACAATAAATTCCCGAGAAACTGTAATAACCGAACTAGGTAAGGATCCTGAGTTTGGAAGCATTTATGAGTATTTGAAGGATCCTGAAAATTTTAGCCACCAAGATATTGTGGCGATAAGAAATAGGGCGGCCCATTACGAACTAATAGATGGTCTATTATTTTATACAAAAACTACGAATTCCAACAACGAATTTCGACCTGTTATCCCAGCTAGTCTTAGATTAAATATCCTGCAGAGAGCTCCATGACAGCCCTTTAGCTTCTCATGCTGGTATTCGAAAACTATCCAACGCGTACGCGAGGCAGTCTTACTTTCCTGAACTGCAAAAGTTAACAAGGGCGTATGTCCAGTCCTTACCCAACATGTCAAGTAGTATGTTAAAAGTAGTATGCCAAGTAGTAGGTTAATTATGTTAATTTCCGCCCGGCCGGGTTTCTAAATAGTATTAAATCCGAATTTCCAAATGAAATAATAATAGGCATCGATTTATTGGGCCCTTTCCCAAAAAGTCAGTTAAATAAAAGTCGCTATCTCCTTGTTATGGTCGATCCATTTTAGTAAATGGACCGAAATTGTTCCCCTTAAAACGAGCCTCCGCGAAATTAGTTACTGATTCTATTTTAAATAAATATATTTTAAAATACGGGGCGCCCCTAAAAGTTATATCGGATAATGGTCCTCAATTTGTAAGTAATATATTTGAAGACATGTGCCAAAAACTGGGCATACGTCATTTAAAAATGGTCCCGTATCGGCCGCAATCAAATATAGCGGAACGGGTCAATAGAAATATAGTGAAAATTATCCGTAGTTATGTTAAAAATTTTCATAAAAGCTGGGTAACTATGTCAATGAATTTGCTTTCGGCCTTAGGACCGCAAAACATGATACAACGGGCAAAACTCCTGCTGAGTTATTTCTAGGGAGAAAGATTATAACACCGTTAGATAAATTATTTTATGTGCAACAAAGAGCCCCAGAATTTAAAATGGGTGATATAAAAAAACTAATAAAAGAAGCAAAAAGAATACGGAAGTAGCACAAGAAAACAGAAGCTATATTATGATTTGAAACGACGGGGAGTAACTTATAAAGTAGGGGATGAAGTTTTAAAAATTAAGCATTCACTTTCTTCAGCACCAGAAGATAAAACTGCCAATTTTTTCCACGATTTGAAGGACCATATGTTATAGAAAAAATAACTCACGCTGTTGTAGTGTTAAAAGCCAGAAATGGTGAAACCTGTTCCGCAAACATTGATCAAATCAAGCCCTACTTCGATCGTAATAAAATGCAAATCTTTTCAGATCTTTTGCAGGATCCGGCACGGCAGACACCCCGCAGGTACAAGCTCCAGAGGTGGAAAAAAAACGACAAGTACAAGGGCAAGCCAATGAGAGACAGAAGCAAGTGAAAAGAAAATTGCCCCGCGGAAAAATTGAAGGTAACAAAGAAAAAGAAGCCGTTCCACCGTCCAGAAAAGAGAGTTCACGAACACCCCCAGAATGAAGAAGGGGAGAAGGACGACGTATGTGAAGAGAACCAGGAGAAATGACGGCAACTATAACCCGGCTTTAAAACGGAAGATCTACTCATCCGACAGAACTCTCCGCAGCAAAAGATCGCCAAGCAGGAACGACGAGAGAAGTTTCCCGATTCCGCCAAGACCAGCTGGCCATCAAACGGCCAAGACCACAAGGCAGAGGCGGAAAAGGAAGGTATTCAAGGGTGACCGAACTGGTGGGAAAAGGAAAGCTTCCAGACAGGAAAGCAACTGAAGGGCGAGCCCGCACAAGAAGGGAGGATAAATCAAACACTAATCTTGCAGCTACCTTTAAAGGTCTGGGCCCAGTGAAAAGGATGTCCGAATATCACAAAGATAAGTAAAAGTTTTATGTTACTTTGCAAACTTAAGTTAATCTTTCATTCTTACTGCAAGTGGCAGATTTCAAGAAGTTTTACCTCATGCGAGGTCTACCTTTATCGCCAAAAGGGCGAGAAATGAGTTGTGACCGATTTTCTATTATGTTTTCAATTATTACTCGCGCGCGTAAAACTAAGTTGATGTATAATAGCGTTGTGTAAAGACTTAAATATTGTAAAAAGTTATTGTATAAATTTTATTTAAAACATTCTAGCAAGAGAGAAGTTTTAGTCTGAAAGACTTTTTGAAATGTATTATTTCAATGTAGAAAGAATTGGCACTTGCTTTGAAAAGAATAGAAGTTAACAAGGTACTACTAATGTATGTTTTCAAATGTGTAAAATTAACAGCATGTTGATATGTTCTTATATACAATGTGAACTGTTATTTTAAATGTTAAGAAATACCGTGATATGGTAAAAGTGAAAGTAATGTTAAAAATTTGTTATTCGTGTGACTCTAAAGACTAAATCATGGCAAATATGTGTTAAAGGTTGAATGATGTAGTTAGGCTCTCTGACGCTACACTTTAGAGTTAGCCACTTTTAGAATAGTACCTGAGGGTTTAGAGTTGAAATTAGGGTGTGTTAAGAGGTCTCGTTATGTTGAATTTTAACACGTTAGTGTTTTGATTGTAGGAGGAAGTGTGGCACACGTAGACAGAAACACATTCGTGTTTGGTGTTCTTTTACAACACATGTCAGAGAGCACGGGGAGAGATAATTAAAATAGTCATGAATGAAATAAGAATGTTTTAAGAAGAAAGTATAATTCGTGTTCATGTTACTTGCCATTTCATTCTGTAACATTTCATTAAACTAGTTTTCCTTCCAGATCTCTGGAAGGAACCAGAATTGAATAAAAGCTCCAATGTTTAGATGCAGTACAGATGAAAAAAGTCCATTGTTGTATATCCTGGGAGCTGCTATTGTAACAAACGACTTTCTAATTCTTTAAATTTCTAGTTTTCTAGTGAAGGAGTGTTTGTAAAAGATTGGCCTCGCTTTAGTTTAGATTCTAGAGCTAAAAGCTTTCAACAAGGTCGTTTTAGACCTCACAGTTTCAAACTAATTAACTCTGGCGGGAAGTATGTAAGGATCTTAAGTTTTACTAACGTTTATTTTATTTTAAATCTTTACTATCCGCACTTCTTATTTTCTACTTCCGCGGCCAGAATTATAAGCGTGAAGGTTTTTATGCAAAGTTTGTCTGGCGAACGCCAAGTATTTAAGTTGTGGCCTTTTGCCAAGCGAGAGAGAGGAAGCAGTTGAGTCAAAGCAGGCCGCTTACCTTAGAAGTTACGCAGTTGCTGTTTGCCTTCCAGGCCAGAGGTTTTAATCCTCTTGATAAATTTAAACGTATTGTAGTGTTCACAGTCTCTGTGCTACATACGCTTCCTGTTATTATAAGGCCAATCTTCCACGTGTATTATTCTAAAGTTAAATTAGAGTTTAGTTTTATTTTTATACTTTTACGTTAGACCCCAAGTGGGGGTCAGTGTATTCCGAAGTACGGAAGTTATTGTAATAGATAGAAAAATAAAGGGTTTTGTATACCCTTCTCGTATCCTGTCCTGTCTACTTACCCCAATTAGTGAACATAGCTTTAGTAAGCTCTCTGTTCCGAGTCAGGTCCTTGTATGTTCCCGAAGAAGGTTAGAAGGAACATTGACCCTGATAGCATAAACCAAATCCGAAAAACTAATGGCCACGTGGAAAGAAGTAAATAAAATGGTGCACGTGGTAAAACAATAAACAGTAAAATATTCTCGAAAATGTCGGTTGATAGCACAAACTAGACTAGAAGAGAAACACGCTAATGTGACAATCAAAATCGTAAAAACAACCTTGTATTTAGCGTAAGTATAATAAAACACTCAATCGATTTCGAGGGCAGCTAAAGGTCCCTCCTCATCAGGAGAAAGAAATACGTAGAAAGAAGAAAATAAAGGAGAAGGAGTCACAGAAACACGTGGTCCTTATCAGCACTGCACGTGGTTGTAACTAGATTTTTAATCAGAGTTGCACTGGCCGCCTACTTTTACTGAGCCAGGCTATCTGATCGAGCATGAAAAATTAGCGAAGTTAAAATAGGGAGCGAGGGGCAAATGCACCTTACGCTCAAAATTTGAACTTCAAATAATGGAAAGCAATTCAAGTAAAAGATAAAACACAGAAACACAAAAACAGAAAGGGTGTAAATAACCCTTTATTAACTCAATATTATTCTCAGATGGCACCGGCTCGTGCTTAGAAAAGCCAATAGTTTTGACTTAACTCAAAAGGTAAACTTAAAATAGAATAGAATTAAGTTAGCCTAACGGCTTTTCACAGGTTTCTTAACGCGCACGCAGGCTCTGACTCTTAGAAGTCAGCGTAAGCAAGCCTAATGGCGAGAAGCGCTCAACGCCACAGAACTAGCAAATTAAATATACACCTGCAGAACACGCTCTAAAAACACCTTCCAAAACCTTCCCCTAAATACTAACTTCATTCTTCCTCATTTGAATACACGCGCGCTAACTCATTTACATTCTGGCAAGAAAGCGGGTTTGAAAACGAGATCATTAGAAAAGGTTGCTTCAAAAAGTACTAACTTAAATAAATCCTCACAAAGTATTCCCACCTCAGTAACGGTTTCGGGTTTCAGGATGTATCTTGTTATTTCTGCGCTCTCGATTTCATAAAAGAGTCTCTGTTGAATTCTCCTCAAATCTTGTGCCACTTGTAGAGGCTTCAGTTCGTTTATATTTTTAAATGATGTCATATGCTTCTTCTCGGCGACAGATTTTCTGCTGCGTTTCTTGTTCTTTTCTGCGGTAGGTTTCTGGCTTTTATTTCGGACGCGGGCATTTTTCCTTTCAGGGGATTCCACCCATAATGTCTGGCGCTTAGGATATTCTTCCTCAATCTGATGAATTACTGAAAATAAATTTTTCAAAATTTTCGATTCATATAAGAACATAAAACTGAGTGTCATAGATCATAAATTATTTTTTCGTACGAAAGCAAATACTAATTTAATTCGTTTCAAACAAAATACTTGTCATTTAATTAACTATTAAGCAGAATACATTATCTTCGATGCTATTGCAAAATTCGAAGCTACTCTCTTACCTTGAACTTCCAAGGGAGTTTGGCTTAAAATGAAAAAAAAAAAAAAGCATACTCAGATTATCAGGTTCTATGTTCCGCATTACTTTCTTTGGGAACATGCAAGGACCTGACTCGGAACAGGGAGCTTACTAAAGCTATGTTCAATAAATGTGGGAAGTAGACAGGATACACAGGAAGGGTATACAAAACCCTTTATTTTTCACTCTTTACAATAATTTCCGTACTTCGGAATACAGAGACAAACTACTTGTGGTCTGAACCTAAGAATATAAAATATAACTAAACTCTAACTTAAAAATTTGGAATAATAAACGTGGAAGATTGGCCTTATATTAACAGGAAGCCGTATGTAGTACAGAGAACTGTTAACACTACAATACGTTTAAAATTATCACGAGGATTAAACCTCTGGCCTGGAAGGCAACTAGCAAACTGAGTAAAGCTTCTAAGGTAAGCGGCCTGCTTCGACTAACTCCTTCCTCTCTCTCGCTTGGCAAAAAGCCACAACTTAAGTACTTGGCGTTCGCCAGACAAATTTTGCATAAATAAGTTAACGCTTTTAATTCTGGCCGGAAGTAGAAAATAAGAAATGATAGTAAAGATTTAAAATAAAATAAACGTTAGTAAAACTTAAGATCCTTACAAGATGAATGACCTTGGGCTCAAAATCTACAGGCTTTTCTGCCTAGCTTTATCTATTAACATTTAACGAGCATATACAAATACACTGATGGAAAATAAAATCCCATCACTGAGAAGAAGTTGTGCAAGGTAAACGAAATTTGGGGAGCGAGTTCACACATCTTAAAGATGATGTCGATTCAGATTTCAAGCTAGATGAATAAGTACGGTGCTATTGGCGCCATTCTGAGCATTCAAGTAACATTTTCTTCAAATACAAGAGGTAAACTTTGTATAATTTATCTTCTCGGCTGGGCGTGAGACAGATTTGAGTCAAATATCTCTTTAAGGAGACGAAGAAGGCAGTAGCAGCAGCTTACTGAGCTTGAAAGAGACAGTGCATTTGGACTACGAGAAGCTGGATTTTCACAATATTGTGAAACGTTTTGGAAGTAATGTATCCACTGTGCATTCATGCTGGCAGCAGCAGTCATTGGAAAAGTACTATACCAAGAAGGCAGGGGTCAGTCCTTTTGAGATAATTATCTCGCCACCGCTCAAAGGGAACACCGCTGTATTCGCTGCATGTCTGTGGAATCTGTATGTCACATTGCATCCGCAGCAGACATTCGAGCTTTTTTGGCACCAGAATGTCAACGCACTTGAAGGTAGAAACTTCTTAACTTAGGCTGTAGATCAGCTATTAACATGGCGTGACGCCTCAACCTCTAGAGGCGATCCTGCAATGAACAAGGTCAGGTTATATGAACGCAAAACAAAAGCTACCAGGCTCCAACTGGTCGCCGAAAAAAACAAAGGCAACGTCAGTCAAAGATCATTTCTTCCTGAGTTGACCAACGGAGGCGAAACCGCAGAAGACAGCTTTTGAAAATCAAATATATAGCGATCACAGGGCTCGAAAGAGACTTGAAAGTATCCGTACTGTCCCTTCCGAGCCTGAACGGACCACTGAATAGTCGGTGTCTTTAATCCTGCGAAGATATTCTGTGCACCCTAGTAGTCGTGTCTGTATAAGTACAGATCTTAGCCAGAACGCCAAGGGTTGCCTCCCAGTCGATCGTCGGGGGGGGGGGAGCACCAATGTGACGCACCAAACTGTAACAAATGGATTACTTTGAGGGGCAGTTCCGAGCTAAACGCCCTTAACTCCGAATCACCTCCAATTGCGACTTCGCAGGAATCAAATTAAAACTCACTGGTGGACTGAGTGGAGATCTGCTGTGTTGACATACGTTTCTGCCTTAGTGCCAGTGATGGACATATGTTGATTAGAAGGAGTCCAAGTGAACGTTTGGAACCAAGCTGTCTTCGACGTAGACATATTGAACCTACGCCAAGAGTTATGATATCTAGGGAGCAATTTCCCATGGCAGCAGAAGCACTCACACCATTATTCAACGCACAACAAATTTGTAACTCAAATTGCTGATTGTTGTACTGCCATTCTTGATCAATATTCCAGAGGCCATTTTCCAATAGGATACTGCTCATTACCATGCTACTGCTAACAACCAAGATGTTCTACACAGTGTCAATATGTTGCTTTGGCCTGCGGCGTCACCCGATTTTTCTCCCGTTGAGCCCGTAAGAGATATAATTTGACAATAAGTACATCATCCACAACTAGCGCGGACCGTTGCTGATTTGACTGATTAAGTGCAATAGGCATATAACTTCAGCCCGCAAATAACGTACGCCACCTTTACGACATAATACATACGTGTTTTGAAAGCTTGCACTCGACATCATGGCAACTACAGCGGTTATTAATGCACCATCATTTCACATTTGAAATAGCTTTTCTTGCACATGTTTTAGCCTATGACCTTGAAACATTAACCAAATAAATATGTTACCTAGACAAATGCTTTATCTACATTTCTATGCCTCTAAACCGATTTCTTCTTAGTACCGGGATTTAATTTTCCATCAGTGTAAGTACATTTAAAAAATGAAACAGAATATTTAAATTTACTTTAAGTGATGGAACAAACATTTACTTTAAATTATAATCACTTACTAGAATAAATATTTTCTAAATTATGAATATTTGCTACATATCTAGCTTTAACACCTATTTGAAGTTGTAGGAATCGACGCTATCTCAACTGTAAACTCCCAGAAGCGTAAAGACAGACGCACAACTTATCGCTCTGTCTTGCTTCTAAAGCACAGTAAGCATAAACTCAGATGAAAGTTTAAAACATGTCATGTTATATTGATTTATCTTGGTGCCTTTCTATGTTATATGTTATCATCTATGAATTCTTACGTAGTTTTCAGTATGCCTTGGTCATGTTTTCAACATACATATATCTATGTTTCCTCCTGATCTTAGCTGATATTAAAGCGAAATTTTGCTATGAGGATACATAGAAATAAACTTACCTTTGCTGGCTAATGCTGCTGTCTTTAAAAACTTAGTATTCAAGCTATCATCATCAGAATGAACTAAAAGGTTACATTTTTCTCGAATATCATACCATCTGCCTTTATTTCTCCACCTAAGGGAAAATTCTCTTATATTCGAAGAACAAAAAAGAGAAAATGTATACTAACGTTTATATCTAATTAACTTAATAAACACTATAAGATTTTCATGTAATGCTCCAGCCATTAAGTTATTACACTGACAGAATTGTTGAGTTTAAATTTACATGCATTAAGCAGCAATAAAATAAAGGTAAGGAAATACTTGTCATACCTATCATGGTAAAGAAATAAGGGAAAATTAATGAATTTGTAGAATTTTTTACAATTTTCTTGCAACATAAGAAAAAAAATTAACAGAAAGATTAGCAGAGTAAACAGGAATTCATTATTGTAAAATTTTTTGACCAGTTCCTCTACATATCTTATCTTGAAACAGATGCTTTATTTCGCCGTATTTTTCTAATTTGGAATTGGCCAGTTCATTGACAGCAGCCTACTTTTGAATCGATTTTGAACTGTTCATCAGTTAAAGTTATTACACTATTGCTGTATTGCTTTATTTCGCCGTATTTTCTAATTTTAGATCTGTCCTGTTCATTGACATTGCTGCACTTTTAAATCGATTACGAACTTTTCATCCGTCATACTATTAGGCTGTTGTTTTATATTTTGCTTGCGTAGCTCTTATGTGATTTGGATTTTTATGAATGAAAAATTCATGTAACCTGACCCCCTCCCTCGCCATTCAGGAACGCTAACATCTACGATGATTCAAAAATCCAGTTATGAGACAAGAAATGTCTGTAGAATATTTAAGCAAAATGCTGTGCTAAATTTAAAGCATTGTGGGACACAGGAAATAAAAAGGCATGCCGTTTAGATTTTCGTGCAAGAAATTGTCTCTTCAGGTTTAAAAGGATTTCGTCAGTTCTCAGTTTATTTGTGAAGCTTCCGTATTTTCTATTTATTTTTGATCTTGATATGCTTTCAAAAGTGTTCTTGGATTATTGAACTTTTAGAACTTGTTTGTAAGAATATAATATTGAACTGTTGTTTACGATACTACCCTAGATTCAAAATCACGGAAAAAGATACTTTCTCATTATCATGTCTGCAAAAAAATTTTAAAAATAAGAAAATTTGTGAATTTTCTATAAGTTTACAATACTGGTAAAAATAAAGAAAGTGACAAACCTCAGAAGATTTAATTTTAATCTCTGGGCTTTCATCTTTCGGTGTATTGGATCGGTGGAATAAAATCTACCATAGTTTTGTTGTCCTGTCCCAGGGTTTGCGATCCAAAATGACAGAGGTTGTAGAGGATTATCTTCTCGAAAATAATATCCGCTTTCTATGTTCTCCTCATCGAAACCTAAAACATATGAAAGTCTGCTAGTTCTACGAAATAGTGCCAGCTCATGCAGATTGGGTAAAGATACATTAGAAGTCAGATACACGTTCTGGTATTTTGTTAAAGCTATTGACTTGAATGATTCAACAGATTTTACTTTTTTGATACCTTTCTCAAGAACAGGAAGAGAAGTGTTTTGGAAATATCTGACGGCTTTTAAAATTTGGCGGCAGTCTTCTTGATACTCTCGCTTCAATTCTTCCTCGCTTGCGTTGTTGTCTGTCTCATAATCAGACCATTGCTGCAATGTTTTAAGGGCAATTTTCTCCGAAGAAAAATCATCAAACAACCCTAATTCGGTGCTTTTTTTTCTTTTTGGCGGTTTTGGTTTTGAGTATTCATTCTGATCGATTTGGTCATGGTAACTTAATGTCAAGTCGAAAACGCATCCATCAGGTATTCCTTCTCCAAACCTTCGAACCAGTCGCATTTTTTTCCTTACTTCTGCTGCCTGTCTTCCATTTAAGTCTTTTGATCCTTGATTGGTCTTCACATACGAGGGTAACTGTTCTCCATTTTGAATAGTTTCGGCTTTCGTATTTATTGTTACATTCTTTTTACTCCCGCTGCTTGTTGAACCAGACTTGAAGTTACTTAATCTGGATTCACCTTTTATCCATTTCAGCATCGACGAGCATTTCTTTGCTGGTGCCGCTCCATATTCAAATGATGCAGTTCCTTTGGAAGTTTTGTTGTCAAAAATTGCTATGTGGAAGGTTTTGTTTAAATCGAATGCCTTCTGAGAACATCTTCGTAAGATACGCAAACAATAAATAAATTTTTCATCTTTCAACTGATTTTTTATTTTCTTGTCCAGATCTATGAAAGGTATTAGCCTTAGTTCAACATTAAGTTTTAACTTTTCTTTAGGAATTGTTCCATGGAGAGATTTCCATTTTGACCAAGCCGTACCACATCCTCGATGTTTGATTAATTTATAGAAGCTGTACGAGCCGTCTAGGGTGCAAATTTCTAATTTCCTTCTGGGATATTTTGTTATTCTTAAAGTCTCTATAGGAATCATGCTGAGAAGAACTGAAGAACTTTCCTTATGTTTACTGGTATTTATGCTTTCAATATTATATCTAAAAAGGATAATATAATTTGCAGTCATACCTGAAAAGAAATACTTGTATTACTGCGATATAGTTAGCGAAAAAATATAGAAATAAAATATATAAACAAAATTTCTTGGTAATTAATTAAAATAGCTTATCTTAGTTAGAAATTAGCATTTTTTAAAAGAACAAAATAAATTCATACAGAACAGCAGAATACTTTAACGGTTCATTGTTTCAAAAATTCTTTTATTGCCATCGTCATCTACTTCAATAGCCTCTTCCAAAATTTAACTTTACATGAGTTCTAAGGCTCCTTTTTCTACGTTCATAAATAGTTTTAAAAATGCAATAAAAGTAGAATAATAAGATTCCATAGGGTCGGCGGTATTATATTTAGAACTCTGGGCGAATTTTTTTATTCGAATTAAAAAACGTTTGAAATCGTTATATAACTTTTTACGAATAGTGTGTTAGTACATAACTTAAAACTAAATTATAACTCTGATCCTTATCGGCCAGTCGAAATTTAGATATTTTTACATAATTTATTTTAAAAAATTATTCCTTATTAAAAAGTTTTAAGTTAATAATTTAAAGTTAATTTTTTCGGTATTTTTGGTCCTTAAAATCCCTTATAAAAATATCATCTGCTACGTCCTTTATTTATTTGAAACAAAGCACCCGTAATCAATTAGCCGATCAATTAGTCGATCCGTAATCAATTAATCAATAGATCAAAGTCGCTAGTCTACTTCGTCGTGTTTGTGACGCTATCGGTCTTAAGTAAATTTTATTAATTTAAATTTATAAAAGTTATGTTCTTAACTTGTTGCACTTACTGTATACTTATTAATACGAACAATGCTGTCTATGCGTTGGGATAAATTTCTTGAATATTTAGTTGCTTAACACGTGGAGTGCGGCGCCGAATTTGCTGTCCTTTCCGTTCAGCCGGCGCGAGCGATCAAGCGGTGCAATGCTGCAGGGTGATCCGCGACTTCATGCGCTGATTAGAGCTTATCTGTTGGTGAGCTTTGTCGGCTACCGACATACAAGCCCTGCCTGTGCGTGACAAAGCTCGTGGTCGCCAATGTTAATACTGTCGGTTCCGCGGACCGATGCCAGCCAAACGAAATTCCAGTGCCGGTCCCCAGGGATCCAGCATTGGATTCAGCATCCAATTGGTACAGAATATCATACCAAGATATTAAAGATGCAATAAAATTAATATATTTTAATTATTCTTCAAGTGCAATTACGTTTTACCAGGAAATCAAGTACGAGAAGTACAAGGTTAGGCGATCACTTTTTAAAGTTTTATTAGCTAGCGTACTAATGCTTCATAATGCTTCATAAAGGTTGAGTTCTAACGTTGTCAGTTTTAATTTTCTAACGAAACTCACTCTTTTTCTCACCTAGAAGTTTTCAAGTAATCAATTAAAATTTTCCTATTTACTGATGATAAAATTAAAAAAAAAAAAAAAAAAAAAAAAAAAAAAAAAAAACACTTTTGAGGAACTAAGGAAGTAATTGATTACGGATGATTTTGCAGCATTACAGAGTATTGAATCATAATAATGAAATTCACGTACTACGAAAAGGCTTAAAGCAGAAGCATCAGTTGTGTCATCAACAGCTAAAAAGTTAACGAAATGGTTTTTATATGTTCTTGATATTATCAATAACATCAGCGTATCTATTGATTACAGAAAATCTTCCGTATGACCACAGCAGAGATGGACGTGAGGCGAAAGCGGTTCTTTTAAAGGTTCCTTTGAGATGGTGGTATAAATGTCATAATAGTTGAAGCCGAGCTTCGTTTCTGGGTAACCAAACCCTCCTACGTCTCAAAAACTGGGTTAGGTGTTTCGGCATAAAGCTCGAAGTTTTCAACTTTATGCTGACATGGTATAAGAGTCGACCAATCAGAGCGAACGCACGCGCGAAACCTATTGAGCGGAAAAAATAGGCAGCTGTAGATAGTTCAGGGCAGCTATAGATACATCCCCGCATGCGCAAATTTAGCTTCTCTAATTGGCTACAGCAGCGGTTCTTAACCTTTTGACTAACACGTACCATCTAAACAAAAATTGAAAACCTGTCGTACCACCACTACAAAGTACTACTACCACGACCACTCTTGTTGGGGTTTTAATTTTTGAATTTAATAGTTAAAAATACCATCTATTTCGCTCTTGCGTACCACCGGTTAAGAACCCCTGGGCTACAGCTTAGACTCATTCTCGCAGGTGTGAACGGTACTTCCTCATTTCACGCGTTATGACTATGTCTCTATGACATTTAAGCCACCATTTTAAGTTTTATTCAGACGGTAATATAATTTCATAAGTGGTTTAAGCTGAGCTTCATTTCTAGGTAATTAGACCTTGCTACGTCATAAAAACTGGTTTAGGGGTTTGGCCATAAAGTCCGAAGTTTTCAACCTTATGCCGACTTTGTATAAGAGTCGACCAATCAGAGCGAACGCGCGAAATTTATTGAGTAGTAATGCTGTAGGTGCATCCACGCATGCGCAAATTTAGCTTCTCTAATTGGTTTCGGCTTAGACTCTGTCTCACAGGTGTGAACGGAACTCCCGCATATTATGCCCTATGACTATGCTTTCGCCACTATAGTATAATTGTCTATGCGTCTATGACAATTATACCACCTTCTGAACGGAACCTTAATTGCTTTCTCCAGCCCGTTAGCAAGTCCTAAATCTTTCCTACCCGATTTTGTACGTAAACTACTGAAATCAGCGGCCGGAGTTGCACATCTATTGTTTCAGTATATATGCGCAAATACATGCATCGATATTTAGGGGGTGATAAAAGGCACCCTAATGTTCTGCTCTCTTGTTCAGATTCACCCTGTATAAGCTAAAATTAAAAATTTTAAAAGAGTTAAAAATTCACATACTTCTGATGAATATAAAAGGTGCACAGATAAAGGCTTATGTAGGGCCTTGAATGAATGAGGGCGTAAATAAATGTGACTGGATGCAGAGGCGTGAATTTACTCCTTTGCCTCAGGTGAAAAAATATCTAGCACGCCTCTGGTGAGAAAAGCAGTCATTGAACATACATGGATACATCAATGGAATGACATCGTCTTTTCTGGCGAATTTTTCTTTTGCTTTCAGCAAACGGAAGTAAAATAAAGATTCAAAGGAAAGCGATTTTCGCTTGCAGCATCGTGATAGCCGATGCGCTACTGGCGGTACCGAAGTGAAAGACATCATGACTTTTGTCTAATGCATCTCTGTACTAGTCCGTCGGCTAGAATCATGGACTGGGACTCTCCTAATACGCACTGATTTAGATATAAGCATTACTTCCTAATATCCATTGCTATATAGCGATGGCTGCATACTCAGCAACCACCGTTATACATCTGAAGTTTTAATGTGCTTTATTTTCAAGGCTTGCTTGCTGCCAGGTTTCCACAGGTCATTGAACGCATAATAATTAAACTGTAAGGAATATGTTTATTTATCTAACTGTTAAACTTATAGAAAGAAGCGATAGGAAAGGAGTTAAAATACTTTCCTATCGCTTCTTAATTTCAACTTGCAACTTACGGCCGGAACATATTTTTAGAATCACGTTTGAATGCAAATTTGAGGAATAGTATTTAACTGGGAAGTTCTACTGTCTTAGTTAAAGAGAACCAGACATTCTGGCTAGTAGACGTCTCCTTTTTAGGCTACTCTCTCTTAACCCGTTCAGGACCAGCGTCGCGTATACGCGACGCAACAATTCCACTCCTACCAGCCCAGCGTCCCGTATACGCGACGCAACGATTCTGCTCCTACGAGCCCAGCGTCGTGCATACGTGACATTAAAACTGAACGATTTTTTTGAATTTTTAAAAGGCAGTAAATGGAGCTAAGTGGTAATTGTTTTCACATGGGTTGATTCATACGGCATTTGACCTTCAGTACGGCATTAGTTTTTGTTTTTTGCTCTGGTTTTGAGAGATTTATTGAAATAAACAAACTGGAAATCACGGCTCTTTATAAGTGCGCCTGTGAATTAAAGGGGCACATGTACAATGACACAGGCGTTATATTTTGGTATATAATGTATTTACGTATAATTTAATTATATATAATGTATATATTGACGTGATCAATAACGGATATCCCACCAGTGGGGGGTTTTTCCTTGATTACTTTCCGGTCATCGTGGACGCTATTTTCGATTTAAAAAAACAGGAAGTTATCTAATACAAACTTGATGTCACACAGGGTTCGAGGATGAAATATTTCTGAGTGTCTTTTGAAGAAGTTTTGGGACATGTGTCGGGGTTATATTCAGTTTCATTCCGTTAGCCATGGCTAAGAGACCTTACTTAAAAACTTAAAAATTTGTCCACAATCACCGTACACTATAACTTTCTGTCTAACTGGAAGACAGTTTCCGAAAATTTAAATTGACGGAAAAGTAATCCAGGTAGGAGAAGATGCGTTGTGTGCGCTAAAACCAAGGAAAAGCGAAAGTAAACAACGTATTGTGATTGCGAAATATGCAATTTAGGACTGTGTGTCGTTCCTTGTTTTGAGTTATTTCACACACAGCAGAATTTTTAAATTGGAATTTAATTACCTACAGGTAATTCTTATTTAGCTTTTTTTTAATTCCGTATTTATATTTTTTTTCATGTTTTATATTTTGTTCTGCTGATAGTTATGATTTAGTATTTTGTCTGTTTAATTTATTTCTATTTATGTGATATTCTTCACATAATACACATTAAAACAAATACATTAAATATGCAACTTCAAAAATTGAAGTCATAATATCAAAATGCTGAATTTATACTTTTTTTTTTTTTTTTTTTTGTAAAATTAGGCTGAACTGCTGAAAATGCACGGCCCGGTGGCGACGATCCTTCAGCGAATCCAGTCCCGTGACTGCGTTTCGTTCTCCCGGCGCTGGTCCCTGAGGGGTTTATTATTACGCTCGGCCGTACTTTAGGGCCTTGATAGCTTCGCAGTAATTAGCGTTAAGGGGCCAACTCTGTGAGAAGTTTGATAGCTTCAGCTATATCTTTTTAGTTAAGATTAGTTTAGTTCTTAGTCTCTTAAGTTCAAGAGCCCGAGTGTCGGCTTTATTGTACAACTCCAAGACGGAGTTCTGTTACACCTTATTGGAATAATAAAGGGTTATTTCACCCTTCTTACTTGTTGTTTTCTATCCCACTAGAACTAGTAACTAAGAACTAGTAAGCGATTATTCGCTTACTAGTTCTTAAGAATCTTCACATTCAACTGTAACTTAAAAGTACACAGTACAGAATCTTACAACACAATGCTTCAATGTCTACCAGGTCGCTTTGCTGTATTAACTCGCCTGTTTTCCCGATATATTGCCCATCGAACATTTCTGCTTGATATTTCGAAAACGAGTGGGCAAGCATATACCATCCGTGGTTTTGCATATGAAATTTATGTTTCAGTGGAATAGTGCAAGCACCAAGAAGCCTGCGCTCAAAGCTATCGAATGAAAATTTAAATTATGAAAGTTCACAAGAATGTTCCTTGTTTGAAGTCCTTTATAGTTCAAAAAGTTTCACAAGCCACGAAGCACGAAAATCTATGTGACGTGAATATCTAAATGTCAAGTAAAAATAGTAGAAGGCAGAGAATAAATTATACTGCCCATTAGGTCAAATTTACGTTTAGAATGACACATTGCTCACATCGTTAATGTCGTATCATATTCATTAATACAATCGTTATTAATTAGGCAAGATGTCTCGTGAAATTTCTTAGCTAGTTTTGTAGTACATGCTTTTGTGTTGTTCCAACATTCAGCTCCTTATGTATTTTGTTATTCCGCACGTACCAAGATACATCCAATATTCCAGTGTAGTGTTTGTTCTTAATAGTCTGTAAATGTTTCGATTAGTTCGGCATAAATACACCTTAGGCAGGTCAAGCATCATATAACGCGGACGCAAAATTGTTTTGTAAGCTAGTTTCTTTTGTATAGATAAAACATTGTTCCGAGCAATTAAGGGAAAGAGGCTTGCTTTACACTCTCTAAACTTCTGAAGAACAGATGTAAGCCAGACGCTCTCAAAAGCTTTAGCTGTATCCAGAAAAAAGCCGCGCCTACCAGAAAATGGTTAATGACTCTGACTGAAGGGAGCGTACCGAAGGGGGCGGGTTTGAATCCCGGAGAAAGTATAGATGCTAATCTGTGCGTCTCTGCATTGGAAGCAACGGTGGTCCACCTATTAAGTGCATCCATAATAAATAGACCACCACATCCGGCCTTCCTATTGGGCAATGCCTATAAACGGCTACAGCCCACCATTCGAAAATAATATCCAGAAAAAATCATCCAGGGACTTTCTTCCTTTGCGTTCCACTAGACGAAATTTGACACGGGCGGAAACAGCGTAGACTGAAAAAGCAAATATTCAAATCCTGTTTCTTGTTGTGCCGAGGAGGATCACAACATTTATTACCAGCCATAGCGGCTACACAAAATAATAATTATTTTGTGAATAATTATTTTGTGTTCCGAAAGTTAAACGAAGCTGCAATTCCACTTTACCCTTGCATTTTATGTAGTTTTTGAAATAAATATGATCATGATATCTCTTGATCATCCCCATGTTGTATTTTGGATAACAATGTATTTAAAAAATGTTCAACAGTACCTAGCTAAAACATAGCAAGTATCCCATAGCTTTAATGCGAGCTTGCTGGCAACGCTTTACCTTATTTTTATCTCTAAATGTCGAAATTATAAGGACAGGATTATGTTTTTAAATTCATGTAGAGTTACATGAAATTTTTTAAACTTCTCAGTAATTTATTCATAAAGAACTTAATATCCCTTGTTTGCCAAATTTGCATGGAGATTTTTAATGGAAACATTTTTCTTTGCTCTTTTATTTGACAGTCAACTCGCTATATTATTTAAAGTAATGCTTTAATCTTTCATTTTGTATACTGCGACGGTGAAACTCTGCTGTATCGCCCATTGTGGCTTGCTAGAAATCATCATTTTTTAAAACTTATTTTCAAATTTTATTTAAAGGATTCCGTCTATCCACTGAATAGCCTCAGTAACTGACGGATAATAGAAGTTCAAGGATAAAGAATGGCATGTTACAGAGATACCACTGTATTTTAAAAATCTGATATAGACACACCACATGACTTCCTTGTACGGCCTATTAAATTATACACATTTTTTCCCCCCGCATCGGTTTAAACTTATTCCCTCGTACTATTTTAACTTAATTAACCGAATTCCCAAGGCAGGTTGAAAATCACGTAAAAAGTTAAAAATTTTGAAATTAAATAATCCGGTAAATTTTTGTCGCAGAGTTAAACTTCGTGCATTTTTTCATATCTAACGTAAAACGTGCCGCTTTCATAAATACTGACAACTCGAAAAAGTCCATTTTTAATCTATTTTGCAATTCACTTTGCAATAAACAGTCCTTTAATCTGTCCGTATGTACAGACCTCACGCAGAAAAAATATTCAATATGGACGCGAGGATGGTCAAAACGAATATTCCGCTGAAAACTGATAACCAAAACTTTTCTCGGTCACAATACTTCCTTTACTTCGTACAAGGAAATAAAAATGTTGGAAAAGAAAAGAAACGAGGGGGAAAGTGCAGAATCGTCCACTGCTTGGCGCGTTTGTACATACATACGCGAATTGCACATACTCGGTATCCATGTACACATCGACCTATTTTCACTTAAAAAAACATCCCAGAATTGCACTAAAAGGGCATTGTGCACTCCATTGACCTTATCCATGTACACATCGACCTATTTTCACTTAAAAAGTCAAAGAAAATTGACAAAAATCCAATTCTTCTTACTTTTGTAAAAAGCGCCAAACAAACGCCAATCAGATATGTGGGCGATTCTGCACTTTAGCCGAAACGAGAATATATTAAATTAAATTTCATTGTTTATAAATAGTAGGGAAGATAAGATGCATTAAATATACTTTACCTAACTGAGCCTTCCATAAATTTTCGCATCCACTTGTTTGCTAAAAAAAAGTGTTGATAATTTTTTTTTTATTAATAGAGTAAGGCAGTTTAATATTTTTATATCAATCAATCAAAAAATCTAAACACGTTTATATCACGCATAAATAAGATATAATAATTTAAGTAAGCAGTGCATGGAAATATTATTTGAGATTACAATACTTAAAAGTACAGATTTCGAAAGTATCGATCAGTGGAACCCTAGGTCTAACCAGGCTACCTTTTGCACAATAAAATGAAAAATCAGCACAGTATGCAATAAAATTTAGAAATAAATTCATTCTGTACATTAAATACGGAAATAACGTGAGAGAAAAATATTTCAAGAATGTCAGAATAATTTAGACAACACAATTTGCGACAAATTTTAAAAATAAATTAAATCTTCACATTAAATACTTACTTGCATAAATGTACTCTCTATTATTAGATTTTCGTTAATCAATTCATACTTGTACCTGTTTTTCCATATCAATGATAGTATATTACTATAAGCCATATACTGACACTTTGTAGCTTGAAATATTAAGCAGGATGAGTATCCGATATTTCCATTAAATATCAGGAATCTAACCAGATGTGAATTATTTAGTATAATTCCTCATTATTTTGAACTAAAAAGTTGAGCTGACATCAAGCTGGAAATTTTTTTTACAATTTGAAAGGTTTTTTTTCTGTTTACTGTAGCGTACATTATACTAGACCTTTTTCGTTAAAGATACATCACTGTTTGTATGTACGTGTTGCACGTACATCCGCCCATTATTCTCGGCTAATGTCTGTTTAATGTAAATGTATAAAAAAATTATGAAATATCCTTTATTACGATACTTGATGACCATTAAATGTGCTTATGTCCTTACTGACCGTGACAGAAAAACTAAAATAAATCATAATTTTACCTTACCTCCGAACCTTATCCCAAACTTTTAGTTTTTTCTTCCCCCCCCCAGCGGGCAATTAACTTTTATAGAGAGAGAGAGAAAGTTTGAATCTTGCATTATCTGATAATGTAAACCTAACTGCAAAGATACCTATTTATTAATTAAGTGAGACTGCTTGGAAAGGTTTACAACCATTCCTGTAAGAAAATATTTATACAATTATAGCAAGCCTTACAATTTATTTTTCATTTAAGCTAAAAATTTAGCATTACTTAAAATTCTCTTTTTTCTTTTCTTAAAAGAATCAATCCGTCACTTCGTCAGTTTACTAGCAGCTACTAATTTAAAAATACTTTTAAATCAAAAAATATTTAATTGCTAAAAAGAACGTTTCTATGATGCAACCTTTGCGTTTCAACCTGATTTTAACAAAATATGAAAAGCTAATATTTTCATTTATAGCTATTCTAAAATCATAAGTTGATTACTAACTAATTTTGTTGTTCATTTCTTTGATTATGGGTAACATTTTGATTTTAATATTTAAAATTAGGGAAAGGCTGACCAGCTAACTCGAGAGCTATTCATGTAGACGGCACGGCTTCACAGCGACAGCATCTCAACTCATTATTCGGAAATTACGTGTGAGTGTCGTATCTCTGCTGCGGGTGAAGTTTTCGTCTTAGGACATTAAATATGAGGTTAGTAATCTTATTTAATCTATTTATTACGTTTAAATATTATAAAAGTAAAAGAATTTTTATTAAAAGTGTGTGGTGTATTATTGAAAATGATGCATTTGTTGTATTTAACATATGATATTCAATTGATACACGTGTAGTACAATTTATGTCTTTCATTTCAGCTCAAAAGTTAGCAGAGATACTTTATATGAGTGTGTGAATAATCTTCTGGAACATTCACAAAAGAAACCCAGGAATTTTGTAGAAACTGTTGAATTGCAGATTGCGTTGAAGAATTATGACCCACAGAAAGACAAGCGTTTCTCTGGAACAGTCAAGTATGGCGGCTTTTACATTAACCTAAGTATAATAAGTCCTGCTGAAAATGAATGATTATCTTAATGGTTAATCGTAAATATTTTATTCTACAAAACGGTTATAATAATGGTTAATCGTAAAATAAAAGGTACCTTAATGGCCTGAAGTAAGCATGGCTTATTATCTCAGGTAGCTAAGATAATCTTAGCGGACCTTCACCCAGGGTCTTAAATAAATTGGGGAGGTAGTAACAGCTGCTTAGCTATTACTACCGTTATTTTTAATGCCCTGCATGAGGTGGTAAGTCGAGTAATTTCTTTCTTCTCTTTTGGGTATTTTCTATAGTGAGCGAACTATACGTACGCAGAATTCTGCTTGATATAGCCTATGCATGGAGTAGTTAATGTTTGTTTAAAAAATGTAAATTGTTGACTAATATGTGCATTTAGAAATATGTAAATTGATATGCATATCTGTTCTATGATGACAGTGTTTTATGCTGATCTTTCCTGAGGCAGTTTAGAACTGAGATCTGAGACCTTACTGTTTATTAAACCACTTTTTTATATGAAGAACTAGTAACAGTACTTGTATGACATATGCGTAGTAGGATAAGAACTGCATGTTTATATTAATACTAGATTCATCATTTGTTCGTTGATGTTAATGTGCGGTAAATTTTTTTTAGTATATTTTGTATGAATTTGTTGACTGACCTGAGAGAAATGGCACATATTTAATTTAGCAATGATTAAAAATAGGCGGTTATGGGGAATTTCAGAAATGATAGTCCGGGTTTTCATCCGCAGAGAACCCTTTGGCGCCGTGAGCCGAGCCGTATTGTAAACGTGGTTTTTAGTGATGTAAATTCAAGTTAGCAGACAATGGTAGTAAAAATTCACAGATAATAAGTATGTAGATATAAAACTAACAGGTTAAATGTGATATACGAAAATAAATTTGTATTAAATTCAAGTTAGCACAGAAAACAATGTATTAAACATAACGGGAGGTAAAAATTCATTTAAAAAATAACGATTAGTATTCTTATGCTTATGTTTACAATATACTTATATGTATTTTCTCTAATTCATATAGAATACTAATATTTCTATTACAAGTGTCTTTTTTCACTAGTAAGTACTTTGCCTGTTGATTAATGTATTTCGGTAAGAGCCATGCCCATGTAATAAATTAATGAATGCATGACCTTTAATATATCCATTTTACATAGTTTTAAGTATTTTTTTTTAAGTTGCATACAGCTTAAAGCATTTTATTGTTGAAAACAAATACCTATCCTTTTTCATAATATATTTACAATACAAATAACCTTCAACAGTAATCAAATTTCCAGTGATTTTAATAAAAACTAGACTTTATACATTTAAATTTATAGGGGTTTTGAAAACTCATGGTTCTGCGTGCTTACAGCTGTAATAATAAGAACATACGTGAACAGCCCATGTTACAAATTAGCATTGACCCTCCCGCCATAATTTTTCCTTTGATCCGAACTAATGACCCAAGAACCGGCATCTTCGACGTAAACTTCTTATGCAAACAAAATCTATTCGTTGTTAAAAAATTCAGAAAAAAAATAATAAATAAGAGAAAAATAATATTAATCTCCAAATGCGAACAACGACAACCTTTGCATAAGCAAATAGGATGAATTAGCTAGGTTATCAGGTTTGAACTATTATCGCCAAAGTTGGTGATGTTTACATTTACTTGTAAAAAAATGTGGCCTGATAACAGAACACTACGAAATAGGCGTTTTACTGTGTGTAAGAAGTCTGGGATTTTGACTGTTAAGACCTTGTTTTTCTAAAGAAAAAAGGTTTTTGAAAATGTTCTTGGTAGAAAGAATGGGGAAAGTGCAGAATTGCCCACTTCTTGGCATGTTTTTGGTATTCATGTAGACATCGACCTATTTTCACTTTAAAAAAATCCCAGAATTGCACAAAATGGCATTGTACACTTCCTTGACTTTATCCATGTACACATTAACCTATTTTCACTTAAAAAGTCATAAAAATTGACTAAAATCCCATTCTTCTTACTCTTGTAAAAAAACACTAATCAACTAAGTGGGAAATTCTGCACTTTAGCCGAAAGAATTATTCTGAAAGTTCTGAAAAATGATCTCATATAAGTATTTGGATAAGCAGTTTATATTTAATAAAAGCATGAAAATAATAGGCCATTCATTGGATTGGAGTATTTCATTGTATATTATGTTTATGAATTGAGTAATATTAGTACTCCTCTGCTAATCGGACCAGATTCACAAATGTACGTTTTGTTTACACACATGTAAGAGATGTCAGTGAAAGAGCAGAATCACCCACTGCTTGGTGCGTTTTTAAGAATTTTATGTACTCGGTGTCCATGTACACATCGAGCGCACTCCCTTTATCCGTGTTCACATCGAGAAAGAAAATTGACAAAAATCAATTCTTCTTACTCTTGTAAAAAGCACCGAAATAAGTAGGTGATTCTGCACTTGGTACTTGTGTATTGACGCCATCGCAGCTGCAGATTTTGCAGTTTTTAAGTGCTGCCAATCTACACCTAAAATTTTTGTGACAAATCATAAATTAAAACACTATTTAAAATCAAAGCAGTCAATCGGATTTCAGTGGAAAATGGGCTGATATAGAGATTAAACATACATTCTAAATGTCTCGCTGTCCCCCCATGCCTCTTGTTCCTCCATTTAGCACTGCCCACAGTCTGCGTATGAACGCCTGTATTAGGATCAATAAAATTGTTAGCATGTAGGAATCCTTTTTGTATTCTGTTTGTTTGGTGTAACCTCTTCAACTGTCAGAATAAGTTGTGGTACCATCTGCAATGTTTTCAATAATTTTCTTAAGAAAGGTAGAGCCAGTTCTCTATTAGGAACAGTGACAACAAACGAATCTTTTGTACCCACTGTTCGGGTAATAATCGGTCCACCAGCGGCCGAGCGGTAAAGTCGCTCAACACTGGTAGTTCGGTCCGAGGTTCGAATGCCGTGAACGGGCTGGCTGCATGGGCGTTTTTTGTGGTTTTTCCCATGCGTAACATTGTATACGAGCCAGTTTCCCTTAGAAAGTCCTCCACGATGGCATCTCTCTCCTTAGGCAGATAGCCCTCATGTGCTTTGCCATAATTAAAAAATACAGTTGGGTAATACTCAACCACAATTATTTTTATGCTTAGTAAACAAACCTTTGTCAATATCCACCTACCTTCTTGTTTGGTTTATTCGCCATATCCCAGACACATAATTCATGCATGTAATTGTTTCAATCTATAACAGTTTTATTTGATAAATCAAGTTACTTTTCACAAAAGTTAATAGATGTCAACTCCTCGCACAAGCAGTATATGAATCAAAGCTGAACAAAATGGAATTCTGCTTCCTTCAAACCAGTTGTCTTTCCTAAGTCTCGGTTGCTGGTCACACTGTCTTAAATTACATTTCCAAAGCATACGTTTACCAAAATAAAGTTTCATTTCATGCAAATTGGTACGTTTTTGTATTTTTGGTAAAATATTTCACTCCTGAAAAAATAGCATGTGTTTGGCAAATCCCCAAAACACGTTTTCGTAGCGCTAAAAATTGGCATAAAAAATCGGCAAACAAGGAGAAAAGGTAATTGCATGCGAAGAACAGGATTTCTCTATTGGCGCATCAGCGCAACTTCTGTTGCAGTGGTGTTAATACTTAAGTTACTCTGCACGTTACCTGAAATGTCTTACTTTTCCCTGCACCTCACTGCATACATGTTCAGTGTTATTTAAGTCTAAAGGGTACGGAAAAATTTCATAATAGCTGCAAACTGGCATTTAAGGCAATATTAAAAGATAGTTATCCTGATAAGAAAGTGAATATATTGTGCGAGTACGGGTTTGTGAATCCACTACCGATATGAAGTTAATAAAATTTATTTTCCCAAGAATAAATACAAAATGTTTAAATTTCCTTAGAGATATTCGTCCATCATTGCAATATCTTGCAGCAGTTATATTTATTACTAAAACATTTTACAGAACAAAATTCAAAACAGAAAGCTAATCTGATTTCACCACGAATTCGCTGCAGTAGACAATAAGTTTTTTAAACAACTGAGCTGAGATGTTTTCCTCTAGCTTTTTAATCATTCACTAGAATTTTCTAGATTTTTCTGCACAGCAAAAGACCACAATTAAAGATATTCTGTGGCTAATCTTTGGAATATGGTAACAGGTAGTTTGGCGACATTTTGGTAAGGCAATAAAGGTCACTAGCTAGGACTTTTATTGCCTTACCAAAATGTCACCGTACATGGATAAAGTCAAGTGTGCACAATGCCATTTTTGTGCAATTCTCGGATGTTTTTTTAAGTGAAAATAGGTCGCCATGTACATGGATGATACTGTGTATGTGCAATTCTTAAAAACGCAGCAAGCAGTGGGCGGTTTGGCACTTTCTCCCAATTTCGCACCTAATCTTTGTCATGATTAAGCACTTTTGTTCCATAAAAGTTTTAGCATAAGCGTAATTCAGCTAGCAGATTGTTGGGGGAAAATGTTGAGTTGTTGGAAAAAATGCTGTCCAAAAGAAAAAAACTAGCAGGTTGGTGTAGCAGGGTTGGTCGCCAAGTTACCATAATCCGAAGATTAACCATATCTGATTAAATGTGTATGCTCCCGTATTTTTAATTTTTCTGCCTAGCGTTTTCTTCAAATAAGTCTCGTGCTGCATTGTACTGGGATATAATACAATTTTAATTAATTCTACTAAAATGGTTAAATAAATACAAAAATCGTAACAATATTTTTATTCCAAGTGTTCTTGCAGATTTTTTTTTATAAAGTAAATTTCCTGTCCCAAAAACATGAACATGCTTTCTTGGATTAAAGTTCACTTGGCTTTCACATTCATTTGCAAATGTAACCTTATTTAACCCTCTCAGTGTTACGGCCATAAAATTCCACATGGAAAGCTGGCGTCTATATTCATTATACATGAAAATTTCTGCTAATTTTTGCAGTGGCGTGTATCGATGTTCATGGACAAAGGGAGTGCACGTGCAATTCTCCGATATTTTTTAAGTGAAAGTAGGTCGTGTACGTGGATACCGAGTTTGTGCAATTTTTGACTTGTTTTTTTTTTAAGTTGATGCAGAATCGCCCACTTATATAGCAGGCAATTTTGAGAAATGTGCGAAGCAATGGGCGATTCTGCACTTCCCCCATTGCCTAACATGATTAATATTTATGGGAAGTCATGTTATCTTGGAATATGCTCCAAACTTTGGAAAGTTTCAAGCAGTTACACCATGTTAATGCATCAGAACATGTTGCATTAAGGATTTTTCAATGTGTGTTGTAATTTTATCAGTTTTAAAATTTTGATGAGTTAAATTTCATGTAAGATATGGAGAAGTAATTTAATATATTTTGCAAAACAAGGAAATTCTAAATGCAGATGATAATTCTGTAAAAATGGAAGTTACGGGCCAGTTTGTCATGTTTTTGAAAATTCGCCAAATGGGTTGTTTTCACACGTTTTAGAAAATTGCCAACTCATCATTAGATGGTTCCGATTTTGAATGAATCAACAGAAAACCATATTTGTTTATATCTTTACTAAAATGTAACAATGCAATGCAGATAAAATTCAAAATGGCATGCTCATTTTAACAATGTGCTTAATCACGTATAATGTACTTCACATCTAATGAGAAGTACTTTTATTGTAATTTATACTTAAAGTAAAATCTGTATTAATCGATTCCTGTATTTCCAATTTAACTGTATCATCCATAATAAACTGATTCATGTATTTCTGACCTCACAAATATGTTGAAGAATCGGACTCGCAGGTATTCATCCCTCAGAAAAACAAGCCCTTTCACTCCTTTTGACGTCGTGCTTAACCATAAATCATGCACCATTCTATCACATCTTTCGTCATCTTGCATCTGAATCAAATTAGCAAAATTCACATGTTCAACTCTTTCTGATGCCAGCCATTTTGCTCACATTATTCACAAGAAGCACAGTGTGAAACGACAAATATTCAGTGAATAAATGTATTCCTCTAAGTGGTATTCTTTTCTTCCTGTGCATGTACAGCATATCAACAATGAAAGCAATAATTGTAGGACGAATATTCAAATTCCGGTTGAATGATATAAGCTGTAACCCTAAACTCTTTAACAATTTTCGTTACACCAAAAAGGGGGTGGCTGCCAGATTTGGCACGATTTTACGAAATTTAGTGACTGGCTTGTAATATCGATCTAGCTGATAATTCTTATGATGTATTTTTATTTCAAACTGAAGCTTTGACAAACCTAGTCATCCAAAATCTCAGCAAAGTTATTTAACTTATGAATAATGCCAGTTCCTGGTTAACTCTTTTGGAATAAATTATTTTATTTCAACAAAAGGAAATCTCGGATAAGTGACACTTGGCACGGTTTTGTCTACGATCTTAAATTGTGAAATCACCATATCCTTGGGATGAATATTTTGATGCCAAAGAGGGAAATGACATCAAAAAACGCTTTCTAAAAATTCCCTCTTCAGCCCAATATTGGGATGAAAAGCTTCACTGGCCGAAAATTTCAATAATGCAAAGTGTAGCATTTGCGCTGAGAGTGTAAATCGTACACATAGAACAAGTTGTAAACGATTAGTCATGATTAAGTAAATCTGTGTACTTTTTTCATCTTGGTGTTTTAGATTTTGATACATTTAACTTCACCATTATTAACTGTTATACTTCTCTTTTTTATTTCTTACCATTAATTTGAACAATTATCTGTAATAATGGGTATGTACATATGAAAATATGTTCTTTATATAAATGCAGTAGCGATCATGAAAATGAAGTATATATAGTTAAAGGTGGAAGTTTTAAAAAATTTAAATTATTTCCACAGCATTATTACATCCTCAAAATTTATTCCTGGCTATTAAATCATCATTCAGTTCGGTTTATATTGGACATTCCAGATTCTTTTATTCACATAATTTCACTTAATAAGGTTAAGATGGTTATTTTTATTCTTTTTTTCTTTAAATGCAAAAATAGTTTTCATATAGGTAAACAAAGAAATGTAATCCTGAATTGCATAACTGCAGGAAAATAAGATTTGCAACAAGCGTTTTATTATAAGTACATACACATGGGATAATGTGAGCCATAAATACAGAAAAGGAGCATAATTTGTAATTCTCTTGATTAAAAATGAAATTATTTTAATTACAGGTGTAATTAATTTATTTAGGAAATAGTTAAACCATGAATTCAAAACGTCTACTACAAAGTCGTGTTCATCAGCACAAATTTATCTGCAAAGTTGCGACACCCAACTCATATCTACATATAAAAAGAAAATATCCCTTTCGTTTTTCCCTATCTTAGTTAACCTAAACACTTCCCACTGTTTACCATATATCGCTCAAGTTGGCAAACTCGATTTTGGGATCCTTGTGAAATGCCAGTTATCTGAGTTACCCTCAAAGAACATTTTGATATTTATTTTGTAACAAGCAAATCATAAAACAGGAAAAAATATATGATAGAAACATTTGGCGTTGCATTTCAATTCAGTAAGAAAATTTGTTGTGCACCCTTTCCTTGATTTTTATATTTTGATATTAACTCTTGATAATCCTCTCATCTGAAATATTTCTTATGAGCAAATCACAAATTTTGTAATGTATTTAAGTATTAATTTGTATTTCAGTGCAAGAATGTTAAGGTATGAATAATTAGTTACGTTTATGGAAAGTTGGGTGAAAAATTATGCCCATGATTTTAACTTTTTATATTGGTTGAAATTGAAGGACTTCTGCAAGGTACTGGTGATCTTTTAACAGTAAAAGACAAATCCATTCCTCATCTTCCTTTATATCCCTCAGTGAGAAAAAAATTATAGAGTTCAAAATATGTTGTGTAGCCAGAGATTGATTTTTTTAACTTGTTCCAACTACCTGCAAAGTTTTAAATTTTGTACTTATTTACTCTGTATTTTGTATAGTAATTTTTTAATGTTATTTTATGAGAAAAGTTATGAATTTATGTGATATAACAGATTTAGACTATATCTAATTTCATGTGTAGGCTGAAAAATGTTCCTCGTCCAAAGTTCACAGTTTGTATGTTGGGTGATCAGCAGCATTGTGATGAAGCAAAGGCAAATGATGTTGCATTTATGGATGCTGAAGCTTTAAAAAAGCTGAATAAGAACAAGAAGCTTATAAAGAAATTAGGTAAGGGTTTGAGGTAATTAGAATAGTTGCACACTGAACCCTCCTGCTTGTGCTTCTATGTGCATTCAGGTTCCTTAGTGTGTGCTATATGGAAGTGATTGTAAATTTTAATAACAAGGTTATAATTTGTTGAAATTTTCAATCATACATGAGTAAAATTTTCGTTTTTTTCTTTATAACTGTTAAATAATTAAAAATTAAATAGGTACTGAACAGTTTTAGTACCCTCTTGTTCTTCTCTAAAAGATGTGCAAAGTGCTAAATATTTATGATTGATGTCGCCAGACAAGGCATTAATGGTTATATTTTGTGTATTGCAAACTTCCAATCCCTTTTTTCCCTAGTTTCATGTTTATGCATGAGGAAAAATTTAAGCATGATTTAGTTCGCATAGCATGTTGTGGGTTTAACTTTTCTGCATTTATATGAAATTTGGGCAAAAAGAAAAAGTACTTAACATTTTTTCTTAAGGTTTGAAATGGCAGTTGAACTAGTGGCATTGGAATATGCTTCATATTATGTAAACATAAATGTATATATTTGCCTCCAGGTAATGGAATTTCAGTCGAGCAGTACTGGCAGGTATTCTAAATATTATAGTTAAACGTTAATTAAATACATTAATTATATTATAATAAGCATAATATTGATAATGTTTGCATTCTGTGAAGACCTCCTAACTTAAATTTATTAATACAGTATATTGTGGGATTACAAGTTTTGAAGAACTGATATTTTTAATGTGAATATAATTAATCCTGTTTGCACCTATTCCCTCCTGCATGTGTTAACTTCCCTGCAGGGTCCATTATGTGTGCTATATAAACTAATGGCATGTTGTATAATTAATAACATGTTGCTGTTAATAAAATATATGCCTGACATAATTTTCATTTGTAACTTTTTGCTAAGTTGCATACTTTCAAATTTTTTTATTGATAGTGGTTTAATCTTTTCTTTTAGCCAAAAAGTATGATGCCTTTCTTGCATCTGAACCTCTGATAAAGATGATTCCAAGATTGCTAGGACCCGGTCTGAACAAGGCTGGAAAATTTCCGACTCTCCTTACCCATAATGAATCTATGATGGCAAAGATTGAAGAAGTGAAAGCTACTATCAAGTTTCAAATGAAAAAGGTAATATTTTTGGCAAGTTTTAGATACCCAGTACTTAGTGATATTTTCTGCCATCTTGGATGATACCAAATCCAAGCAGTAGAGAAAGACTTAACTGCCCAAGTAACCTTCTATAATGTATGTGCCTTTGTAGTCCTGAGAAGGGAAAAGTAATAACTGAAGGGCACTATTTTAGGCAAATTTCATGCTCCTGCTAAAAGTGAAAACAGTTTGCTTATGAGAAAGTTTCAGAGTTAAGAATTTAACTTAATGTTTCATTGATTTTTAAAAATATTTTGATGATTTCTTATTTTTGTCCATATTCTTCAAATTTTTGTAAAACAAAGCTAATTTTATGAAATTAAGCATATTTGCATTATAAGCTATTTTTTAAGGTTTACTATTTTACTTCAAGGCATAATTGCAACTAGATACAAAGATAAGTATATAAAAGTAATAATAAAGATACATTGATATATATATTATTTGTAGTAATTCTAGTTATATTACAGGGTTCGTAGCAGTCCTTATATTTGAAAATAAAGTATAAAGGCCCTTATGGGTGCTTACTTTTTCCTTAAAGCCCTTATTTTTTTGCTTTTAGTGCTTATTTTTTAATGAATGTGGTATTTTTCCCCATACCAAAGCCAAAACTAAATAAACAACTTTTCTTCTTAATATGGAATGTCAGATGGTGAATCATACTCCCAGAAATAGCTTTTCCCCCCTCTCTCTGCATTAACATAACCTTTGGTGTACAGGTGCCCGTCGTTCTATTGATCAAAGAATTTTGAAATCGGTAGAAAATTCTGGTACATTCGGCATTCTTTTCCTCCCACCCAAATACTACACATGTTTGAATTTCTATCGAGATCTTAATAATTTGCATTCTCGTTCCGCTTGGTCAGTTCATATTCGTCTTTATTATGATCGTTATACTTATATTATGAGCATATGTATGAATGTGTATAATAACATAGTTGCTGTATTGTAGTAACTGCTGAAGTATAGTAAACTTCCAAAAACAGATTAGCTTTTTAAGGAAATAGTATTTGGAATGGCTTAAATAGAAGGAATAATGGAATAGTCAAAATAATTTCATTTTTTTGGCCAATACATTATACAGTCCGAAGATTGGGAGGCAAAATCTCGAATATTGAAACTGTTACAGTTCGCTGCAAAACAAGCAATGGACTTTTTTTTTGTCACTTTCCAATCTGGATTGAATAGGACTAAAAGTTCTGCAGTCTACTAACCCAAGCGAAGAAGGATGCTGTTCCGGAAATTTAACGCCGTCTGTTGAAAATTAGAATGAAAAACACCTCAGTTATTTAGTTCTTTAATCTCCCAATACCGGCAGCTGTTTATTCCGATTGCAACAAATTTATGTAAGTAATATCATGTAGGGAAGAATCATGGTGCACGTATTGTGCAATAACGTTTGCGATATTTTGCAGAGATAATTAATTTTGATGTTCTGAGTTTTACTGTGCTTGCTAAGCAGAATACTTTTCAGTTCCATTGGTTTATTTTTATATTATGCACATATCGAAATGTCAAAAGCATTTATTTAATGGAAAAATCTAAGGAGCGGCTACAGTCTACCCCTCCTCCTCCGCGCCTCTTTTTCAAGTTACATTTGACTGTCCAAATATTCGTCAATTTCCAAGTATGTGGGTTAGTTAAGCTTTTACTGTTAAAGGATGACTGCATGAAGCAAATTTCTGTCTTCTGATTTCAGAAATGTTCCTCTTTTTTACTTAAATTACTTTGCTTGCAATATCTGTTAAGGGAAAACTTATGTACAATGAAAATTCAGAAAATGTTCAGAATTTAGATTTAAATTATTTAAATATCAATATGAGTGGAAAAATAAATTGTATTTATTATTAGGTTTCAAGCGAATACAATAAATATGCCATTATTATTATTTATTTTCTCTATTTTGAACTGAAATTTCATCATTAAATCTTGTAATATAGTTTAGTTCTGCATAGGTTTTTTTTTTCTCTCATTGTAAACTAGTTCTGTAAATTGAACTGTTATTTAAAATTTAAAAAAAAAAAGTAATTATTTTCCATGGTTGAGGTAATGCTTATTCTCTCTTAATAAATACTGCATTTCTCATATTTTAAATTACAAGTCTAATTTTTAAGGTTATGCAGTTGTGTATAATGTAATTAGACAGGTGCTTATTTTTTTTTTTTTTTCTTAAAATGTGCTTGAAGAGTGCTTCTAGGTGCTTATTATTTTTAACTAAAATGTGGCTATGAACCCTGTATTAGATTAATTTTGATTAGGTGGTTTTTGAAAAAGTATTGAGCATACTATTAAATAACATCTTAACATGTAAAAATTATTCTCTACAAAAGTTTTTTCCAATACTCTAGAAGCATTGCAAACAAAAGGGATTATACCCTGTTTATAGATCATACCAGTAACGTTAGATTTTAAACCAGAAGTTATGCTAGAGATTTGATTAAATCCTCTGATTATATGTTCACATTTTTTGGATAAATACACGATAAAAATAATGGGTAAACATTTAATTTCATTCACCATTTACAGTAAAGTATCAGAGTACAGTTGTTTGTTTGTACAACTGACATGCTTTCTTTGAATGGTTGTAATAATAATTATTTTTAACTTGACTGCATCTGTAATATTTAAATGCATATTAGTAATTAAATAGAGATATTTTGGTTTTTCATGCAAAGAAGCCATGAAGAGTGCCAAGTATGTTTTCTTAAATGTGTGATTTTATGGAAATGGGTCTCCTGGAAAGGTTTGATTCATATTCTAATTAGGTTGGTTGTCATTTTGAAAAGTTTTAATAATTGTCTTAAGAAGGCAATAGTGTCAAGTTTAACAGAATAATTATGTTGTTTGCTCTATTCTTTCATGTAATGCTTTCTGTGATTGTTATTTCAGTGTCCTTTTGGCAGGGATTCTGCCAATATAGCAGTTAGAATAGTGCGAAAAGATTGAAATCTTGGAATGGCACGAAATGTTAAATAATAAAGCGATTGTTTGATATGATGTTGACTATCATATAATTTTCTGCATTCTCCATAAGTCCTTCAAAAGCTCTGGCTTGTGCAGCAATCTATCATGTTATCCAAATGGGTTGGGCGTTGTTAGCTCCAAGAGCAGGTTATCTAAAAACTGCTTTTTTTTTGTGTGTTGTAAATATTTGAAGCAGTGTTTATTGTATCTCTGATATTAAGTACTGTAATCAGTATCAGTACTGTAATAAATTAATTTTGATGTGTGTGTGTACTTTTTCTGAAATTAATCACTCTCAGTTAATGTTTGATAAGGATATCAGAGGTGCCAACTCTCCCGATTTAGGCAGGAGACTCCCGATTTACGACCGCTCTCCCGCCAACCCGATTTACAATATATTTCTCCCGACTTTTTTCTTCTTATATTTCTCACGATTTTTATGGAACTTGGTTTAATACTTTGTTATATGAAAAAAAAAGTGATTTTGGACGTCTGAAAGCAATTGAATTTCCTCTAAATTATATTTAAAACAAAACCTTGCAAATTAGATAACTTCTGCTTTGTGAGTGAGAGCATACGTATCCAGAAACGTCGTTCTCCAATGGACATCGGGCTTCACTCGTGTCTTCTAACATATATTAGCCAATGAGGACAAAGCAAGCTGTTATTTGAATGTTCTTTAGGTAATTTTGTCGTGAGTTGTGCGACTACATGTGCCTTCGGGAAATAGTTTTAGAAATTATCATCTTTTGTTATGTCTGCAAGAAAGGTGAAATACTCGTGTACATTTCAAAATTCGTACACAGTTGACTATCCTTCCATTATTTCCTCAAGGAAATGTAATAAATTTGCGATGTGTACCGCCTGTCCTTGCGATTTTTCGATTTCGCGTGGTGGAAGGGCGGATGTTCTCAAACATGTGCGTACACAAAAACACGAGTTGTTTTGGGGGGGGAAATGAAAAATTAAATTTTTCTTCGGAAACAAAAAGTTATTAATGCAGAATGTCTGTTCTCTGCCTTTTTACTGGAGCACAACCTGCCACTGAATGCATCGGATCACGCTGCAGCTTTATTTAGAAAAATGTTTCCCAATGGTGAAATCGCTAAGAAATACTAAAGTGCAAGTACCAAAACAGGTGCATTTGTTAAAGAAATGGATTTGAAAAATAAATCTTCAGTTATTGATTGCATTAAAACAGCTCCGTTCTGCCTCTCTACGGATGGAAGCAATAATACCAATTCAAAACTGTATCCAATTGTTTCTTTTTTTAATCCAGAGTCCTCAGTGCAGTTTTATTTTCTGTCCCCACTGTAGAAGGACATTTGACAGGCTTTAATATACCACAGCTAATTATTAAAACTTTAAAAGAAAATGCAGCTCCTCTGGATAATTGCTTAGCACTTGGTGCCGATAATGCACCAGTATTGGTAGGCTTGGAAGACTGGTGTTGCAGGCATCTTGAAAGGAAAATTCAGATTTGCAGATTATGAGGAGCAGCTTCTTTACCAATAAATGTGGATGAACACATTGATATTTATTATCTTGAAAGGAGTTCTAAAAGGAAGGAAAAATTTAAACAGTTCCAACAGCTGCATAACAGCATTTACAATTAGAAAACTTGGATGAAGTTATAAAATCAGCTAGGATTGACACCCAATGGAGTTTAATTGGAAAACTGGAAGATGCTGATGGAATTTTAAAATATAGTGAACTGTCTAGAATTATGTTGGCCATCTTGACAGTTCCCCATAGTAATGCAGAGTATGCGAGGATTTTCAGTGTTGTTGCGAAAATGGACTAATTTTGGATCTAATATAAGTGATGACACAGAAAAATTTTTATTAGCAAAAGCAGACCTAACGTGGCAATTGCTATGAACAAAATTATGAAGTTTCTTAAAGAAAGCAAAATCTGCCACTGTTTTTATAACATTTTCTGAAACTAAATAAAATAAAACTGATTAAAGTGATTTTTTTTTTTTCCTTAAACGATGAAAGTAATAAAAAAAATTTTCATGTGTAAGGTATTTTTGTGTTGCTTGCATTTAAGAATTAGTTACTATTTAAAGTTAATTCATTGTTAAAAACTATATTTTCATCATTAAAAGTCTTTTTAACATTGTGAAAAATCTCCTGATTTTTGAGTGTCATAGGTTGGCAAGTATGGGATATATACAGTACAGCATATGGGTTTTTAGTCTCTTATTTTAGCATTACCGATATAGTTGTGTCGTTTTACCTGTCAAACTGCAGAATGAACCTAAATAGCTGATATGATCACAGAAAAAATTGGATGAAGAGCTTAAAAGCTCTTTTTATTAAAAATCTTTACTCCATGTAAGTATATGGGAATCAGAGCAAAGATATTTTGTTTTTGCTGCATTTGCTTGTATATGCCATAGATTTTTAAATTTGCAGTTAGCTAATTGAATTTATTTAGCATCAGTTATTAATTTTATTTTTGTGTTTAAAAGTACTTAAATTAATAAATTTTTTAAAAAACTTTTGAAATGAAATTAGCCTAAGATAAATTTGATGAAGTATTAAATGTAGAATCATGGGTACTATTCTGTTTTGAGGATTGTAAAAAAATCGCCAACTATTGTGATGCCAGTTTATAATTTATATATAAAAAAGTAAACATAACTGATGAATGGAAGCATAGGAGTAAATAACTATTTCAGATTATTATTTATATAAAAAAAGACTAAACATAACTGAATGGATTCCTGCATCACTATTTTGCTATAAAGTTATCGCTAAAGCATAATTTCATCTCGTTGGTTGTTCAAATATAATTTTCTATACTTAATGATGCCTTTTCTTTGAAAAAATTCTATTGCAGACTTTTCAGTCATGGGCAAATCCCCAAGTGTTAAACCCATAGGATATCAAAAAAGGATTTAATAATTAAACTAGTATTTCAATACTGTCTTAAGATATATAGAACTATCTAAACGTACGCAATTTGAAGTCAGCGTTGTTAAATGGACACGTTTCCTAGATTTGGCGCTTTTGCGCATAAATTTTCGCTGCCATTTTTTTTACTGTCCTCAAAATGGAATAGTGCCGAATCATGTGTAATGAAGTGAATTTGGTATTCTCTTGAAATCAATACACTGTACAGCAAATTTTTTATAATTGCTAATAAATTTTGTTAAATTTTCATCAAATGGCGTGAAGTATAAATTGGTGCCTGTATTTTATTGTTGACCCTGAGATCTGTTACCTTTATTTCTTTTGTACGTCATCTGTTTGCTTTTAAAATTTTTAGCAAGATCAGTAGTGTTTGTTAAGTGCATGATTTTTATCACATTTACATAAAAAAAAACTTAAAGAAATCATTCAAAAGATCTTTAATGCTCAATGATGAATTTATTCTGCATGTATTATCTGACAGTAATGAAAGACTTTTTGTACTGAGAGCATTGAAAAAATTTTTCCTTACTACTTAATATCTAAAGTCCAAAATGATAGCATATTGTTCTCGTCTGCTTTTAGCTACACTTATGCAATGTAAAATTTTTTTAAATATATTTCACGACTTTCGGTAACACACCTTGTATTCCAGTGCTTTCTGAGTATTTCTTGATGAAGGGAGCCAGACACAGTAGAATGTTCACCATGAGAGGATATGTATATTATGTTTTTTAAAACTAGTACTAGTTCTTTCCGATGATTCTTTGTTACGGACCTGCCACACATTGCAAAAGAAAGACATTTATGCTGTAAGGTATTTCAGAACCATGATGCATTTATTTCTACTTACATTCACTACACTGCACCATTTTCTAAGAAATTGGATGCATTTATGTATAAGTAGCCTTGCATGTTAAAACTGAATATTTTGAAAATATTCTGTAGGAAATGTTTCATAAAATGCTCAAATTAAAATGCTTTGATATATAAATACAATTTATCTTAATTTTTATTAGACATTAGAAGCATGTGAAATTATTTAAAAAAATATTTGTATATCTAGCCCAATATAGTATTTTCACAGAGAGTAAAGAATCTCGCAGTACTAAAAGTAATGAAGAACTAATGTAATATTGTGAGATATGCATTTTAATTCTGATATTATAATTTTCCACTTTAAACAGTTTAAGAATATTCTGTAATTTTAGTTCCTCTTTTATTCCTAGCATTAACGGTATAGTTATGCTAGTTATTCCAAGAGGTAAAATAATATTGTCATAATATGAATTCCTTTCTTGCTTTGTTAAGTAAGGATACTATAATGACATACATAATAAAAAGATTTGTTAAAGCTGATTGGAAACTTTCTTAAAATGCACTGAAAAATGATAAAACTTGTGATAATAAATGTAAAAATCAGTACCTATTTGTCCTGGGAACTACGGATACACCTGAAGGCTATGAAGAGAAATTTCTCCCTTTCCAAAATAAAATACATCAAATCTTTCTCCCACCTTTTTATTAAGTGGGTTTAAGTTGCTTTCATATTTGTGTTATAAAAATATTTAACTATGAAACATATGTGAACTGCATAAAAGTCTAATCAATTTTTGTGCAATTCTTTGTGTTACGTGTGCCTGAGTTGAGAGAAGAGGCAAAACTCTCAGGTACTTACCTTGCATAAAAGTACTTAAAGTGATATTCTTGTGTGATATTAACATTTTTATTATTATTTTAGGTTTTGTGCTTAGCCGTTGCTGTTGGACATGTTAAAATGACGCCTGATGAATTGGCTCAAAATCTCAATTTAGCCATCAACTTTTTAGTTTCACTTCTGAAGAAGAATTGGCAAAATATTAGGTCTTTGCACATAAAGAGCACAATGGGACCATCATTACGGCTGTATTAAATTCAGTGATGAATAAATTTCAGACTTGCTGATAAAATGCATACTGTCATTCTTTTCTTATATGGTATATAATTTATTATTCTTTTTCAGGTAATGAAAAGCTTTTAAATATTTGATACTGATAAAATTATTTACATGGAAAATATTGCAGTAGACTTTTAAAAATAAGGACCTGTATATCAGTTATAAAAATGGCTTCGTTGAAAGGTATTAAACATTCCATGGTGGAGTTATTGTTAATAAGAATTGTGTTTAAGTGGTACACGTACATGAGCTGACGTCTCAAAAGGGGTATGCCCTGCCCTACCTCTAGATTATTTATGGGCATTGGAACTAAATTTTTGAGTTTCCAATTATAGTCTTAAAAAGTTAGAGCAGACTGAGATGTTTCCATGTATGATGTAATATACGTGGAAAATGATACCTAAAATATGGTATTTAAAAATGTAAACATTCAGAATTCTTGCTACCTGAAATTCAACTCCTCTTTTTACTTTACCATATGGTTTATTCCCCTTCTTTCTCAAGTAGCCAACCTACATTTTTCTGATATATTTCTCTATTTTTCTGATAGAAAACTTCTGTGCAGATGCACACATGGTAGAACTCTGAATCCATATGACAATTTTAACCATTGATTATATGAACATTTACTTAAAACTTTTTGTCCCAATAACTACTCTGATAGTAGGCATTTTCAGATGGGGCTTACAACCACACGAAAGATCTAAAGCATTTGGAAATTGAACCTGTATATAATATGAATTGTTCATTGCAAAAGAATGGTGAGTCTTAAGTTGGAGAAGTGTCCTTAAGTTTCCAAAAACTTAAATCAGCTCTTAACCAGAGTGAAAAATAACATGATAAAAGACAAATCAATGTTGAATTAACATGGTTATGGTGTTTTTTAACTGAGATTATAGATCTGAGTGAAAAAACTGAAAATAATAAAAAACATGTTCCTTAAATTTTGTACATATTCCAAAATTTTAGTAAAATATTTCAAATTTTTTAAACCAAAATTATAAAATTGTTTATTCTAAAATAGTATATTTTCTGCTGACATACCAAATTTCAAGGTGATAAGCTCAGTAATTTTTTTAGAAATGTGTACCACGCAAATATTGCTCAAAAAATTTCATGTACCGTATAAAAAGTTAATTAGCTCTTGCAAAAGAATTTTTGCATTTAATTTATATACAAGCTGAAATATGTATATTTAATGTGAAAAGGTCTTGGTTATAGCTGTTTTTAATAAATACATGTTGAATCTTTTGCAATAGCTTTGCCCAAAATGTACGTGCACCACGATTATCCATCCGCAGATTTAATACACCTGAATGTCTTACCTATCTGTTTTAGTCGCTGTGGTATCACATGCTCGAAATCTTTCTAGCACACTTACATGCCATCGTAGTCCATATATCAGTTCTTCCTGACATATGATCTCATGATCCCCAGAGAGCATTGTCCAGTGTTCTGGACCTCAAGTCTGTCAAGGATAAGGGGCAAGTGAATTTTGGGCACTCATGTGCCACTGGCCAGGTAACGGCAAGTGTGAAATGAGCTTCATTTGTATGGGTAAACAGCCATGTTGTTGATATCCAAACCATTATTCTTCACCACAATAAATTGGTCAGTGTACAGACTTATTCTTTTGTCAGGCAGTCGCATTAAAAGTCATGTGAGGAGCAGCACTGCAGCCATATCAGCGATCATGATAAAGGGATGCTCCCTGTAAGTCAAGAAAATTTCCCCATTATTCCAATGATATCTGTTGAAGTCTGGACTGTTGTAAAGTGCATCCACGGAGGAATATTTAGGAAAATCTATCAAAAAAATTTTGCGTGATTGTGATTACTTTATCAGATGTAGGATTTCTGGATTTGAGAAAGTTATACCATGTTTGAAATCATGGTGTGTATTTAATGTCATGCATATGCACGACCTTCACAGGCAGTAATCTTAAAAATTAGTGTCTGTAATTTATTCGTATTAGATACAAAGATTGCAAAAATTACAAGGAATTGTGGGAATGTTATTTCTTGGGTAAAGGAGCTTGGATGCAGTCTGAAAGGCCTGTTATACCCTCCAGAGATAAACTACCCCTAAAGAATTCTTGTCTTCATCAAATGAAATGGTATGGTTCTCTTTGCGAAATATAAATACTCGTACTTCCCTGTCTAGCAATTACAAACTCAGAAATTTAACTTTTTCCTTTAAATTTAAAACTGTACATAATGCAAAGCCTAGTTTGTCTTTACAAATCAGTTTCCATTACTAAACTAACAGAAAACTTAAGTAAAGTTTCAGGTAAATTGACGAATTCATACAACAAAATACTCAAGCTTTGCATCCTATTTTGTAAAAGTATGAATAACAGAATGAAGTACTAATGAGCTGGGCAACAAGAGTCACAAGTCAATGTACTCACATATCTCTCTTTAACCTTCGAGCACGTGTGTATGCACAAAATTTACGATAAATTCAGTTTTTAATGGACATTTTTCGCATATCGAAGCTGAGACGTCTGAAAGTCATTTCTTTCTACCCTTCCCCACATCATGGAATGTGCCAACAAAAAAGTCATTTGACTTTTTTTAGCGTGTCTTTTGTGCTATGGGGCAGCTTTTTCATAAACCGCGCGTGGTCGTGTTTTAAAATTTGGAAAGTATTTTTTTCTCAAATATTTTGTTACTTTGTGTTATTAATTGCCGTGTATTGTTTTAATTTGAATACATTTGGCTCTAAATTTTATATTGGTTTTCATGGCAAAAAGATATGTGAAACCAGCTGATTTTGCTCGGATTCTTCAAGAATTATCTGAATCTTTGTCTTTGATGAATATTAAAATTAGCTTTGATTTTAAAATATAATTATTAAATAATAAATTTAAGATTTTCTACAATGAAATACATCATTGCATTTCCATCTCACTAATATAAGAACTTAAAAAATAAATAATTTACTTATATTTGAAAGTGATATCATTTGTATTTTGCAATGATAAGATTAATATTTTATTAACAAATTTATTATCAATATTCACTCATTTCTGTCGTTTTTGTGCCCAAAATGCTAAAATAGTGGATGTCGTAAAAACCACATCTCCACCAGACTCTTACTGTGATTATTGTTAGCAAGGAAGAAATGAGATTTTTCACTAAATAGTACCTATACCACTCCCTGTGCAGCAGACCAGCACCTTTGGCCTCAACATTATCAGTCTTTCATTTCAGAGGGCTGCTGTCAAAAATTTGCAAGTGTAAACATGTCTGTGCATCAAGGGAGCCCTCAAATACACAGCAAACCGAAAGTCCTGTAGGAGTGGATGACGCTCGAGGTGGAGCTGAACAATTAATTCAGTGGGACTATCCTGTACCGAAGCTGCTTCCACAGAAGCGTCGTCGCCACCATATTACAGCAGGTGACTGCAGTGGTTGTACTGTGAACTAAAACTCTCTCCCCCAATTTAGTAATCTGAAAATAATGGAATTACTAAATTAAATAGATAATTTACGTCTGAAGGAACTATGCAGATCTTTAGATTTTTCCCCTATTTCTTCTAGAAAAATTGAGTTGTAACTTTGATGGATTTGTTTGAATTATCCAGTAAAAATAAGTTCAAACTCTGAATACATTTCTATAGATTTCCTATAGAAGAGCAAAGGTGTTAGTACTAGTATTTGGATTATTTTGCACTTTTGTATTTGTGAGCAGATTAGAAATGTGATTATTATCTATTTAAACGTGAGAATTTTACCCTGCATGATACGGTTTATATAATCACTGTGTGTCCATTAAATCACCATACACTGCAGAAAATTTCATGATTTACAGTAAGCATTTTAGTAATTTTTTAATGAAAAATGTACTGGGTATAAAAATGGTTGGTTTTAAATGCTGAAATCATTTAACACTTTAATGCGCATTTTTCAACTTTTACTAATTTGCTACTTTATTGCAATTCTCCAAGATCAGTTTGGGTATTAAATCTTACTGACAGAAACATGAAAATGCTTGAGTCAGAGTGATATGGAAAAAAAATATAAGTATAGCAACTTTCAAAATCATGCCAAAGCCAGGATTTAACCACATTTTAAATCAGCAGAATGAAATAGTACTACGTAATGCTACAATAAGTCAATCAAGTCGAGTAACGGCACCTACAACCATAACATGCACTATAAATCAAATGGCCTGGCCTAAAAATGCAGTCCTTAATTTATCTCTTAGAGAAATTGGCGATTTTGTTAAGCTTAAACATCAAATGTTCTATATGAAAGTTCCTCAACAGAGGGGACAACCACTCTCTGCTACCAAATGTTGGTTTGTGATTGGCATATAAATATTCTCTAATGAATTATCTACTTCTAATAAAGCACATTATAATAATATATAAAAAGAAAACTTTAAGGGAAATTGGTCATAAGAAACCATAATAGACTCTCAAGATGCCAGATACATTTTTAACTCATTCTTTTACAGTTTAAGAAAATATCAATGTCGCCAAAATATTAAAACTTAAAATTATACTTAATAAACAAGTACTATCATTAAGTGCTGAGAAGCTGTGGCTCAACGTCATTTATTTTTTTTGGGGGGGGGCAATGATAATATACGTATATTTTTTTAATGTGGCAACCAGAAGTCGTCATTAAAAATTATTGTATTCTCAAATATATTTTCATCACTTTAAGGGCATAAGTATTTTGCTTTTTTTTTTCTTTGTTTTGTGTGTTTAATAGCATTCATTCTTGGAATTTTTGCTTGTGGTAAGACAACTCAGCCATGAGCTTGCTCGACCCTCTCAAGTGGCTGTCATTTCTGAAAAACTTATGATTACTACATGCAAATTTATTCAATCTTTCTATGTTACAGTTAGTTACACTTTGTGAAGGCTCAGGTGCGAAGCACATGGAGAACAGGCGTCTAGGCTAAAAGTCACATCCTGTGTGTAGCGCATAGAGAAATGACATAACTTTCCTACCATAACATTAGGGAATTTTGACCGAGAATTCTAAAAAAATAGGATTC